CTCAGTTCAGACAAAATTATCATCAGCCATATGTTCAGGACCTGAGCCCAGAGAGTGTTTGATGAACCAGTTTCATCTGATGTGACTTTAGGAGATTCTTCCCAGATAGATTGCTAATGTCTTATACTTTGGTTTTCTGCCATTGAGGGAATGACTTGCAGGTTGTTTCTGATGATTTTGGACAGACTCTTGGTGATCACCTTCACCAAGGAAAGCCAGGTGCTCAAGCTAAGGAGAAACTGCCCCTTGGCCTGCTCTCCCCATGGCATCCAGCTACAGTTTTACATTTCCATACTCTGCCCTCCTGCCCGGCTCCATTTCCAAAATAGCAAGGAGCTTTAGCAAGAAGTCATTGGTTGCAATTCATCAGCAAGCTTTGGACACAGCTGTTTCCCATCTTTTGACAAAGTCAGCAGTTTGGCTTGTCTCCTGGGTGGAATGAAAATTTTGTGAAGGGTGTCAAAAAGACATACTCGAGGGGCACTCAAATTGTCTCTTAATTTACTGCTACAGAATTCACTGTGGAAAAAATATAGATGAGCATTTTGTATGCAACCCTCAAAACTAGCACCTGTGTTGATTTCTATATCAGATATACATATGTATAGATAGATAGATCTGTATGTATTTGTGTGTACATGAAGTACTGATACATGTTACAACAGTGATGAACCTTGAAAATACTATGAGCCTCCACGGTCTTAAGAATCCCCTGTCTCAAGTCCCTGGGGTGGAGTGGGGTGGAGGGAACTTGTTAAAATGAATATTCCTGGGCCTCTTGTGAATCAGAAGTTCTGGGGGAATGAATGTAGGATCCACATTTTAACAGACACCCCAGGTGGGTCACACTAAAATTTGAGAACTGTTTACTTGGAAGTTTTTCCTCAATGGAAATACTTGCCAATACCATAAGGTTTGAAACATATAGAACCTGCGTTAAACTTCAGTTTCTTCTCCTGCAAAATAAGGGTAATTCTGCCATCTCCCAGGCTTGAGAGGAATGGTGTGGAGTAGACATGCAGATGGAGCCCCTGGTCTAGGAAAATGCAGCCTTCACAACACTGTCCCCCCAGTCTGGGGCACTTGATGCCCAGTAGGGCTGCCAGATAAAATTCAGAATGCCCAATTAAACCTGAATCTCAGAAAAACAACAATAATTCTTTATTATAAGTGTGGCAGCAGTGCCCAGGGCAGTTTCTGGGGTCTCGGGGTTGGTGGGACAAGCTCTATGGGGGGATTTGGAAAGTTATCCCTCAGTGGCCTCCATGCCCAAGCTCCAGCCTTCCCAGAAATTCTGTGAGCTTCCTAGATCTCTTAATAAATCCCTTTGTAACTTGAATTCTCCAGTCCGTGTCTGTTGCTTACAGCTAAGAACCCTGACTGATACAGCACCTCTCTACTCAACAACCTGCCATCTGTCTTCTGTTTCCACCACTTCCCTGAGCTCTCCCTGAAGTGATCAGGCGACTTAACTGTACAACCTCTTGGGTTTTCTTGCTTCTGTATCCTCTTCTTGGGGAGGAGCGTGTAGAGGACACAGTCTACCCATGACTGCCTGCCTGGAGGGAGCACGGGGAATTAAGACCTGGCTCAGTGTGCCACTGCAGATCCTCCCCTCCACCGCTAGTGCCTCCCACTGGCCAAACCCAACCAGAAGCCGGGGGGCAAGGGAGCCTGTTGACAGGTGCATTCGGGTCAGTCTCCCGGGACACAGAGCAGGGTGGAGAGAAGGAAAGTGTGAATCTGGAGGGGCGGAGGAAGTGTATCCAGCAAGCAGGGTATATATGCTGTCTTAGGTTTGGTTCCTTAGAAACAGAGCCTGAGATGGGGATTTTGCACAAGTGACTCCTGGGGACACTTCTGGGAGGAACCACATGTGAGGGAAGGAGGGAGAGAAGCAGGAGGGGGCAGCAGAAAGAGCTGGGCAAAGATGTAGTTTCGGGATTTGTCTAGCCTCAGTGGGGTCTCTGCCTCAGTCTTGTGCTTTAAAGGCCTCTGCCCCTCCTACCTTGTCAGCCCCACCCTTTCCCACAGGGCCTGAGTTATCCAGGGGCCAAAGGGACATACCTACCAAAGCCTTAGCCCTCCCTCAGGACTAGTGGCTTTTCCACCCCCCAATACATCACAGACAAATACATGGTCCTGCTGTGTGTGACTAATACCCAGCTCACACCCCCTGTGACTCACCACATGAGCTTGACAGCACCCAAAGTAGTCTATACCCTGTTTAATCAGAGAAGGTCAACCAGACAAGTTTGCTCTTGGGTGTTCTGGCAATGTCAAGTTGCTATAGAAATTTCTAAATGCTTGCACTCAGTTTTTTTTACTTATCCCACAGCAGACCAGTGACAACAGTTTGGTCCCTGGGCCACATTGAGTAGCTGTGTTCTAGACTTTTCTGTAGGTGCCGGGACTCTAGAATGTAATCTAAATCCCACCAAGTCCAAATCACACTAATCCTGCTTCCAGGGTCTTCATGGGTCTCTTCTCCTGACCCATTCTCCAGGTGCTCACTGCCCTGGGCCCACGCTGTTTGCAGGGAGGACAGCGGCAGAGATGAGATGTGTGTGCTGGGGTGCCCATACACATGCGTTTCAGGCCCCTTTTGAGGCAGGATGAAGGGTAAGGGAATGAGAAGAGAAAGAAACAGGCTGTGGCTGGCAGAGGAAGGGGGCCACAGAGATTTGGGGCAAGCCCTGCAAAGGAATTTCACCTAGAATCCACCCAGAGCACCCCAATATGCTGAAGCCTGCCAGTCAGGAAGCTCTGGACCATGCATTTTCTGCTGTGACTTCCAGTGTTTCTAATTTTGATTTCTATCCCACGGTCACAGTGAGAGCATTTGGCAGAGCAGATGGGCGACGTGTGGCTAGGTGTCCTGTGGACCACTGTCTCCTCAGCTGGGAGCTGCGGCGTCATCAGCCCTGCTCGGCCAACCACTCTGCCAGCCCCCAATACGTCAAGCACACTGTGCTTCCGGTGCCTGCCTCATGGCAAGTCATTTCTCAACACCCAGGGGAAGGATTTTGTTTATTTTCCTTAAGTTTGATTAAAAGCAAGCCCAGGCGAACACCCCCAAAAAGCAGAAACAAATGACAATTTTTTTAAAAACCTACGCAATTAGCCAATAGGCATATAAATAATATAATATTTCTAGTAAATCAAAAAGCATAAATCCAAGCAATGAGATACTTTATTTTGCATGCTAAATTGGCAGAGATGAGCAACAAGAATATTCAGTATTTGTGAGGTTTAGGGAATACTGCTGTTTTGCCTACTGGTGGCAGAAAGGCAATAAGGAGAAAGATTTATAGAGCTACATTTGGGAATATCTTGCAAAAGACTGGAAAATATGATATCCTTTGAAATCTAGAAGACATTGTTCCATAGTCTTCTTTCATTGGTTGCTGATGAAAAGTTGTCAGTCTCAGTCTTGGATTTTTTTCTCTTCTGGGGCTGTTCTTGTTGTCATTGATGTTCTGAAATTTCACTAGGATAATTATCCTGCGAAGTATTTGGTAGGCTATGTCAAGTTAGGGTTTCACCTGTTTCTTCAGTTCTGAGAAATCCTTTTGTATTATTTCTGTGAATATTGCTTCCCCTCAATCTTCTCTAGCCTCTCCTTCTAAAACTCTTGTCAGATCAAGGTTTAATTTCTAGATTTCTATTCTATGTTTCCTAATATGTTTTCTATACACTCACTCACTATCTCGTGCTACTTTCCAGGAGAATTCCTTAGCTTGCCCTTTCAGCTCAGTAAATTGCTCTTCAACGATGTCTATCCTGCTATTCAGCTTCTCTATTGAGGTTTTTTTTTTCTCTCTCACCTCAACAGTTAAGATTATTATTTTGAATATCTCTGAAACTTTTTGAGTCACTCTTGTCCTCAGTTTGTGGTTATATTATCTTCCTTCATTTTTCTGAGCAGACTGGTTGCACTTATCTAAAATTCTCTTCTGTATACCATACTAATTCCATTTCCTTTGGGGTCTCTAACAGAAAGTTAGTTGTTTCTCTTTAATGGTGTTGGCCTTCCCCAAATGTTTGCTTGTTCTTGGTTTTGTACTGATTTTCGTAACTGAAATTTCCTCCTTGAATGTCACCTGCACCTAGCTGAGAAGGCCTAGAGGGAGTGACTACTATTGGCCTGACTCTTGGCACTATTTTCAGAAAGCCAGTCTTCTGGGCCTGGGTTTCCTCTTTCTCTCAGGCGTCCCCAGCCTCTGAGACACACCCCTCACAGACTTCCCCATCATTGCCGTGTGGCCCCATCTGGTTGGGCAGCTCCTGGCCTGCCTGTGGCTATAGCAGAGGCTCTGCCTGCTTCTTGCATCCCACTTGGCACTCCCCTTCCTGCTTCCTGGGCCACCTTTCCTCCTTCCAGTGAGATACTTTCATCCTTCATTAATTCCTCAGTGTAGTCCTGCCCTTCCGTTTAAGTGAGGCTATTTAAACCTCTTTCTGTCATTTCTTGGCACTTGCTCTGTGAGGCACACATGTTCAGCCCTACACTTTGAGGTGGAATGATGCAAAACTCTCTGTGTAACCTTCAAGCTAGTAATCCCACTTCTAGGTACTTATCCCCAGGAAGTAACTAAAAATAAAACTTTAACTACAAGGAGTTTCATCACAGTAACATTTATTATGGAAAGGTGGAAACAAGTATCCGATCAGATGGGATTAGTTAAATAAATGGTGACATATCCATACGCAGCAGACGTGTGTGAAAAACAATATGGCAGAATATTTAATGGCATGGAAACATGTCATCAAGGTATCATTAAGTGAAAATTTGAGGTTACAAAATTATTTTAAAATCTAACTTTTGGAAAAAGCACACATGTTCTCATAGAAAAGGGTAGCTATGCATGTTGGGATTTCTGATAACATTCGTTCTTTCTTTTTGACTATCTTTTTCTCTACAATCTTGAGATTGTTTGCAGCAACTGCCATGTGCCAGCCTCTGGAGCAGAGGTAACCTCCCCGTTTACCTTCCCCAGGTGTGCTGGAAGATGGACTGTCCTCCAATGGTGTGCCCCCATCTACAGCCCCAGGTGGAATATCCAACCCAGAGAAGAAGACGAACTGTGGGACCCAGTGCCAAAATCCCCAGAATCTCAGCTCAGGCCCTCTGACCCAGAAACAGAATGGCCTTCAGACCACAGAGGTAAGGTCCCAGCCACAGAATAGGCTGAGGACTAGAGAATGGGGGGCGCGAAGGGGGTTGCTTCAGGGCAGAGCCACCCAGAGGCTGTGTTCCGAACAGGATGGCCCACCTTGGCAATGGAAATTCTCCACCCTGCTATATAAAAATTGCTGCAAACCCTACCCCAACTCCAGCCTTTCCCCTGCCTGAGGGTTGCCGTATTTTGTTGAAGCAGGGGAAATAGGTCCTTGATATTTGTACTCTAAAAGAAATGTGTGTTTGCTTAAGTACAGCTTTGTTGAAGGATCTCCTTTTCTGTGGCAGCACCTACTGTCTTGGTGTGAGGACTGTGCTGTTTAGAGGAAGCAGTCTTAAGCCAGGCAGCCGGCCACTCGCAGGGCTTGGCCGAGTAGGGAGTAGGCAGAAGAAGGAGAGAGACCAGCGTGGTAGGAGACAAGCCTGGCATTTTGTCTCAGACCCTCCAACCAGGTGGGCACTGGAAGGGTCCCCAAGGGTGGCTTTCATAGCAGAATATGGTGACAGCATCATCCTAGACCATTGCTGTTGGAAAGGGGGCAGGGCGGTGGTGTTCCCACACCTGGCTGTGATCCTTTCTTTTCTCCTAGAACTATTGTTAGGAAGTGTTCATCCTGCTGCCCTTAGCTTCTCCCATGGTGCAGGAGGGCAAAGCCCTGAACGAATGCTCTCAGAAAGCCGGGCTCAGGAGTCTGTAGTCGCTTTCTCTTGCTCAGATCTTCCCTTCAACTTCCTCACCTGCCCTGTGCCCCAGCCCCTTCAAAGTCTACCACTTACCCTGCCCTCCAAACCCTTTTTCTCCAGTCTCCTCCGTCAAAACTTACTGGTCCCGTCTGTCTCTTTGGGCCAATGCCATGTGTTTTCTGAGGATATAACTCATTATCTAATGATGGAATTCTTGCTCACATCAATAAGTTGCCTTTCTAAGCTATGGCCAGAAAACCTGTTGCAAATTCAGCTCTAAAGCTCATAACTAAGGACCTTACAGAAATCACTTAATCTCTCAGAATCCCAGGTTCCTTATCCACACAATGGCCATAATACCGACATGAGTGAACAGGTGGGCCTGCTCCCTGTGGCATACTTAAGAATGGCAGGAAGGATTAAGAGGGGAAAGTTAGGCACACGGCACCATAACCACTTAAATGAGACACTAGCAGTGGCCCTGCAGACACAAAGGTAAGAGGTGGGTAGATGGGAGGGTAGTGGTGACCTTCCTGCATTGTGGGTCCTGGTTGTCTACTCGTTGCTGTGTCCCAGGGCCATCTGGGCCTCACAGAACTGTGTGCAGAGCTTGGTGACTGCTTTAGTGCAGGCTCCAACATTTGTCCTCTAGTGTCCTCCCCACAGGTGTGCCCCACCCTTTGAACCAAGATGGGCCGCGGTAGGGAGGACGCAGCTCTCCTGGTGGATGGCGTGATGCACGCACTTGTTTCCCCACCTCATTTCCTGTCACCATTGTTCATCACTTTAAAATTGTGTTTTGCAGCTCAGAAAGTAATTTTAGGTTTACTGGCTCATTAAGTCCCTCTAAGAGCATTGTGAAGTAAGCATCACCCCCATTTTATACACAAGGAAACTGAGACTCATTTGGTTGTGTGACACGAGTAAGGCCACATAAGTGCTGGAGATAATTGTCAGTAACTTTAAATTGAAAAAGGTTGCCGTCAGAAAGGTGGAGCATGAGATCTTAAAGTACTTGTTTGAGAAGAATTATGTATTAATCAACTATCGCCTCAATCATGCTGCATAACAAAGCACATCAATGTTCAGTGGCTTAACCAACTGTTTTCCCCTCTCACGGTCAACTGCAGCTGAAATAGGCCAGGCCTGACTTTGGCTCTAGCTCGGTCTATTTCATGTGCATTATTCTGGGAATCAGGCCAAGAGAGCAGAGCTCTCATAGGTATATTCTTCTCACAACTATGGCAGAAACTACAGAGGGCAGAGCCAGACTGCTTGAACACAGGTCATGTCTCTGCTCACACCATACCTACTAATGTCCTATTGGTCAAAGCAAGTCAATGAACAAGCCCAACATGAAGCAGAGAGGCATACTCTGTCCAAAGTGGAGAGAGAGCAAAGAATGAGGAGCAATAGTGCAGTCTACCACAAATAACATGCATACAGAAAAATGCAAAAGTCATAAGTTCAATGAATTTTAATGAGCTGACACACCCATGGAACCATCGTGTAGGTAAAAGCGTAGAACATTATCACCCACCCATAAGTCCCCTGTGCACTCTTCCCAGCCACCATCCCTCCTCTACAATGCAACCACGCTTCTGACTGCTAATATTGTAGATCAATGTAGTTTATTTTTGAGACCTTTATAAATGGAATAATATAGTGTGTGCCTTTTTGTGTGTGGCTTCTTTTGCTCAGCATTATCCTTGTGAAAATCATCCACGTTGTTGTGAGTTGGGATAATGTTCTCATTTTCATTGTTACGTATATTTCATTATATGAATTCACCACAATTTAACCATTTTACTGGATGGATATTTGGGTTGTTTCCAGTTTGGGGCTATTGTGAACAATATAGCTGTTAACATTCTTGTGTGTGTCCCTTGGCAGACATTCATTCCCTTCTTTTGGTTATATATCTAGGAGTAGAGTTGCTGGGTCATAGGATAGTGATATATTTGACTTTAGATGTTGACAGATAGTTTTCCAAAGTGGTTATACCACTTTACATTCTCACCAGCAGTGGATGAGTTCCAGCTATGGGATACAAAAATCTAAAATCAGTAAGCTGTGCTTAGTCTGTCTTCCTGAGGCCTGTAATAGCAACAATTGTGTGTGTTCTAAGTACAACATAGCTCACTAAACACTTTTGTTATATTATCTCGCTTAATCCTCACAATAACTCTACAATGTTGATATTGTGGTCTCCAGGTTACAGACGAGAATTGAGACTCAGACAGAGCTAAAGAAAGCACACACCCACACTGCACACACAGTCTAGGAGCTCGTGGGACAGCTGAGATGGGACTGGGCACAGCCAGCCTCCACAGGGCTCCAGCAGTCGTAGAAACTGTGTCACAGGGGAGTGATGACCACACACACCTGACCAACACGACACCACTGAGCGGATGATCACATCCATAAGCAATCCCAGTAGCTTTTGTTTTTGCAGTTCAATAAACATGGCTGTGTTGTAACTATTTCCAAAATAAGACCAGGGAGCAGATAACTTCAGTTTTCAGTGTTCAGACAATTGCTGAAGTTTATCAGTGGTCTTCAAATCTTGAGTCCTCAACAGTCCCTCAAAGATTTTCCATCTATAGTGTCTAAGTGTAAGTTTACAAGGAAAGTTTGCCTCTGATTAAAGCTTCTGTCAGCAGAGCTATCTCATACCAACACTCAGGCAGCCTCTCAACTGCCTAGAATCTGCCCAAAGAAAATAGTTTTCTTCCTATCTCCTCCGGGGCCTTTGATATACTGTGTCTTCCCAGTTTGTCTCTTATACTCTGGGCCAAAACTCAGCATCCACTTGCTTTTTCTGGTCTTCCTTTGTACCCCCAAGATGACCTAGAAGCATTTCACAGCCTTCCCTTTGTGCATCGCTCTTTGGCATTTTTCTAAAGCTTTCCTTCTCCAGAAGACCCCATTTCGTGAAGCAGGCTCTGCCACATGCCTAACTGCCGTTTTCCGTTCAGATTTACAAAACAAATCTGTGTGTTTAAGGCAATCCTTAGGCCTGGAAAATTTCCTCATCAGTTCCTATAACTACTCTTAAGATTCATTTGTCAGGTGTTCACAGAGTGCTGTCGAGGTGCCAGGCGCCGTTCTAGTGCCAGGGATCCAGGAGTGGAAAAGGCGGACATGGCTTTTGCTCTGAGGCCGCTGCCAGTTGTAATGGGGGTGAGGGTGGGGAGTCAGATAATATAGAATAAATAAGCAAAGCATTTATAGTCCAGAAATGGTGCTAGGAAGGAACAAGAAAGTCACTAGGGGGTAGTAACTACTCCATCTAACACAGATGCCGCCCCACAGCTCAAAGCGCTTTCTGGAGGGTGGGTGGGGGGCACCTAATGTCACTAATGACTGTGAGCAGCAACAGCTCATGTTCTGGGCCTTTCTCCACTTCATAGCTTCATAAACAAACCATCTTCCTTTTTTTTTTCAATTCCCTCTGGCCCCTGCCTTATGCCTAGTGTTAATAGGTGCTAACTGGCAAAAACACTGTGGCAAAGATGATCTTTCACAAATTGGATCTGACTGTCTCTGTGGGGAGCTCTTGCTCTTTCTTTATTGCACCTTGATTTCCTTGGTCATTTGGGGCCTTATTGACTCTGCAGGGTCTGATAAATCACTGGCTCAGTCTCCTCCGCCCAGCTCCCGGCCTGAGCTCCACAAGCGGCACGAGAGGCAGGTCTCCTCCTGCCCATCTGTTGTTCAGGAACTCTGGGCTGCCTCCAAACATTCACTCTCGAACCGAATGTGCCATGTCCTTGGGGTTAGGTCTCTTGTTTTTTTCCCTTCTAAACTACTTCCTCAAGTATTCGGCTACAGTAGAAATGTATATGTGGATATAATTCTATGCAGACAAAAAGCTCCAAATATATGGCTGGCCTCCCAAGGGGCCTTCATGCCTTCAGCAGCTGCGTATTTTCAAGTTGCTTTATTATTCTTGGCAAAGTGACCAGACCGTGCTAAAGGAATTAGCCGATGGACTGATCTCAGCTAAGGAGCTTCTACCTTCTGCCCTCCCCCAACCCCAGTGTCTGGCCCAGTCTAGGAAAGACAGGGAAGCCCCACAGAGATGGGAGACCCAATCAAGAAAGCAGGATAGGACCAGCCCACAATTTCTCCTGGACAACAGTACCATGAGACATATCAGGGAAGCGTTTGGAAAGCAAATATGAATCGCTCCTAGAAAAACAAAAACAAGACATTAAATAGTGGCAGAGAACAAAAGAAACCACTGGACAAAACCAAAGAGAGGGAAAGCTGTTAGAAGGGTACTTTGTTTACCTATT